TGGATTGGTAGAAATTTTTGAGAAATTTTAGTGAGTTACAGGATTAGATATTATGGATTTCATTGGGAAGAATTTAGCAATCATTTCAGTGAACTAACAACAGATGGTTGACTGGATTGAAGAGTTGTCTAGTTAATTGGTCAGTTCAATGAAATAGTACAATTGGCTGTAAACCGTAGATGGTAATACTCAGTAATGGTCTAGTAAATGCCCCTCAATATTCTTAAAATAAGGAACAGTTAAGAAGAGTATTACATCTCATTCACTACCAAGTAATTCTTTTTGGAAAATTCTCATTTATTGCCTCTACGAATATACCATCTATGCCATTTTCTCCTTTTTTTTTCTCTTAAACCGAGATGACAGAGCCAGGATATGCAAACTTTTCTGTAGATTTAGTAAATATAAATCAGCTATGTGGGCCATTCTGTTGTTGTTGAAACAGTTCAATTCTACTGTAGAAATTACTCAATTCTGTTGTAGCCTGAAAGTCTAAACAGTAGGTAAATAGACACATATATCTGTATTACAGTAAAGCTTTATTTATGGATCCTGAATTGAATTTTCACACAGCTTTCATGAATCACAAAATATTAGTTTTCTTTTGATTTTTCATAGTCATTAAGAACTGTAAAAATCATTTTTGACTCATAGCCAGAAGGCTGGATTTGGCCTGTGGGTCATAGTTTGCTGACTCCTGGCTTAGAGCATATCAGTCTAGAATCTGTATCTCATAGTTGTTCTTTCTGGTCGCTTTGGTTTCTCTGTGCTTTGATCTAGATAAATTCCTCTTTAATATCTTCTAATTCCAGAATTCTGCTCTTGATTGGGTCCAGTATAGATTTTAACTTGTCTATATGAGTTTCTTCAATATTATTAATGATTTATATATTTTACTTCCAAGATTTCTAATTGGTTCTTTTTCAGACTCACATGTTCTTATATTATTTCTGCCTGTTTCTGTTTCACATTTTTGTTCTCTTTTAAACAAATACTATCATTTAATTTTCAATTAAATTTCTTCAACCTACTTATTTAAAGTCTTTGTCATGCTCTTCTATATAATCAGTTTTGTCTGCTATGAATTCACATTTCTAGTGCTAATCTTTTCAGATGTATTTCTTAACCATAGATTATGCTATATATTCAGAATTTTATTATATAAGCTTATTTTGATTGGGTCATTTTCTCTCCCTCAGTGATCACCTCTCCTTGTCTAGTGGTTTGGGAGTTGCCTCTGCCTCACCTTTTGTTCCTCCCTCCCCAAGTTCAAGATCAGATCTCACAATAATAATACTTTATACTTCCCCTTAAGATGATGTCTCTGGAGAAGGAAATGGCAACCCACTCTAGTATTCTTGTCTGGAGAATTCCATGTACAAAGGAGCCTGGCAGGCTATGGTCTGTGGGGTCACAAAGAGACATGACTGAGTGACTAACACTTAGGATGATATAGGAATGTGGCACATCTAGACACTTGAGTTACAGGGTGGTTTAGTTCAGTCCTTATTAGTGAAACCAAATGTGTCTTTACCCTACTGCTTATATCCACAGCCACAGAACCAGGAAAAATAGGGCAGTAGTCTCCCATCTACAACTTCAGTTTCATTTCATCAATAAGGGACCTTTAGCTTAGTCCCTAATTTCAGCTTCTCGTTTTATATGGAGCTGGATTCCTAGCTCCAGTGTTTGCTTCCAGACCTGGAACCCAGTTGCTCCAGCCAGCTTCCTCTCTCTGCATTTCTGGTTCAGAAGTGTTTAACTTTTGAGTTCAGTTATTGCTCTGTATTATTTCAGCAGATTTGGAGAGAGGGATTCCATTAAAAGGTTGTTACTCTTCACTATCTTGACTATAAATAAGTTTACTTATATGCCGTTTGGTTAACTGCTAGAATGTAAGCAGCTTGAGAATAGGGCCCCTATCTATCCTGTTGACCACTTTATTGCTAGTGCTAAGCACAGAGTAGTTGCTAAATTAATGTTTATGGAAAGAATAGTGATATAGATAACAACATATGAACAACCTGTATATACAGATACATAAAATCAAATTTTATTCTTTGTGCAAGTTGCAATTTTATTTGATGACAAGTATAGTTAGCACCATATCCACCTATCCATTTATTCTATGTATTCAGTGCTTGCAGGAGATATTTTTGGAAGTCAGGTATGGCATGTATTCATAAGTTATTCTTCTGCCTCCTATTAGCATTAGTCTTTGCACCTGTGAGCAAAAATAAATAGAACTTTATAAATACCAAATATTATCATCTCTTTTATTACAGCATTATTATGCTACCAGTGATATCAGCTGTAAGGTAAAAATAAAGAGAATTGAATGAATGACAGAAGCTTTTACCGATGCCCTTTGGGGCTGCTCTTGCCATATGGGAGGCTTATACCAGTATACCACTGAAGTTCTAGCACTTCTGTGGTGTTGTGAAGTTGCTTTCTGCTTTAGTTCAGAAGTATTTGTGGAGCATACATAGCTAAGTCCTGACCTTCTAGTCTCCTATTAAGGTAGGATAGTAGGTAGGGTCTTACAGTCCTTACTGTCCATTTGGATAAATGATCTCTAGTCATCTCCATGGGATTGTCAGCTTTGTGGGCTTCTAGGAACTAGAAGGCTAATAGACTGGCCAGGAAAGACTGAACATTAATAAGTGTAAGACTCTTAGGTCCCTTCTTTGTCTAATTTGATAAGGATCTGAAGGCAACAGCTCTCTTTGAATCCCAGAGAGTAAGGCCTTGCCACTTCTCCTGAGATCTTCCCAGCAAGTTGAGAGCCAGCTGTATTGTTGGGGAAGGGATACAATCTGTCTAGTGCCGTGTCTCTGTTGGAAGTGTGTGGGGCTTGTTGAGTCTATCATAGGGAGATTTATCTAACAGAGAGGCAGTGAATATGTGTTTGGTATCATTATTAAGAGCTAGTTTGCTCCCATCCCAAGCCATGCTAAGTGCTGGAGAACAATTTATATTGCCAGCTAGAATAGTAATATCACAAGCTTACTGAGATGACAGAGTAATCTTATTAGTTAGACTACTTTTCTATATTGAAAAACATAAAGTATTTTGCATCAAATCATATAATCTACATTTTCCCTTTCTCTCTTTAATTTGATTATGAACTATTACTGTGCTTTGCCATAAAATATGAAAGTTTTACATTTTGATAGTTTTTCAAATGCTGATTTTACTTTCTGTGCAAATACTTCATATCTTTCTAGCATAATTATTTAGCAGCCTTTTCGGGTTAATTATTGTCATTAACAATATGAGTCCTATGAGGGAATATCAATTAAAATATGCACAGCTGAACTTTCAAATGAGTAAATAATTTAGTTTTGGAGAATGACTGGAAACAGCAGGGTAACAGTCAAAAGGGGAACAATTATTTTAATGCTTATTTGACAAATGAGTCATTTTTACAGCAAATTAGATTCTTATCATAGCACCCCTACTGGTTGCCACAGGAAAGCTGTTAACATGAGTTTTTAAAATAAAAGCTGTTAAGTTATGCATGCAAAGTTAAGGAAATCATTTGTATGAAGAAAAGGTGATTAGGGTATGCATTGTTAGCTGATGGAATACTGCCACTGGGATCTAATTAGGGCCATAAATCACACAAAATGGTGTGTGTATATAGGGCTTGAAGCATCCGAGTGATACATGCCATCGACAGTGAGATGGATGATTCGCCCACCCTGACTTTGATCGCTGTCCTTGTCTTTGTGCCAACCAGACCCTAAAGTCCTACTTAATGCAGAGTGGAGCTGGGGCCTGAGCCACAGGAGCTTACCATTGTAAAGGATGCTGGGGAAAGTCCAAGATGGACATCCATCTTTTTTCATTAGGAAAAAGCTCAGGAGAAACAGGATGGTGGCCTTTATGGTAAATAGCCTTGAGATGAGTTCCAGTCTGTATTTTGTCAATTTCATTTAGTTAAAAAAATTTTTTAAACTCAGTGGTTCCAGAAGAAAAGAAGGAAGGGAGGGAGAGAGAGGGGAAGGAAAGAGGGATAAAAAGAAGGGAAGGGGAGGACACATTTACAAAAACCACATATTATTTCTAAGATACATATAGTGTCTACTCCAAGCCCCATAGGGCTCAGCCGAGGGTTGAGGCAAAGCCTGATTGTAGACTTCTGGAGTTCTGAAACCAGATAAACACACTCGTTATTCCCTAATTCTCTTGCTTGGTGTTTTTGTACTGAATTGCTTCCCTGAATCTGCTTATACTATCATCCCATGGACCTCTTTGTACTGGCCTCAGAATTGATACCACATTCCTCAGCCTGTGTGGCAAGTTACCCCCTCTCTGTCCCAGATGGAGTAAACTGCACCAAGGCAGCCTACCAGTCACAAAAATCAGACCCCAAGAAATGGTCTAGGGAAACTGATTGTAAGATATGATATAGGCTATTTCCAGGTCTGCTGTATCAGCCACTGGGAAATGACTAGAATTGCAAATTCTTGGACTGTACCCCAGATCCTCTGAGTCAGAATCTCTCGGGTTTGGGCCCAGCAATCTGTGTTTCCACCAGTTCTTTGGGTGACTCCGATACATGCTTAATTTTGAGAAGCACTGAGCTAGGCTAGAGCCTGGAAGAACTAATCTGATACCTAGTTCTTTCAGGTGATTCTGAACATGATTTCAAGAAATCTCCAGAGAGTTAAGAGCCCTTGTAAGACACTAACGCTAGTACCTTCCACTCCCTGCTGTCATTCATTGTTAACTACAGGTGTGACCCTGTACTTTCAACTTGATATTTTCAGGGTCTTAGTTTTTCATGGGTAAGTGAGAGTGAAACGTTGCCTAAGGGAAGCAGGAATTTAGACAGATTAACTTGTAAATTAACTGCCAGTTCTTGATCTCTAATTTTTAAAGACTTGTTTAAAGATTTAAACAAGAAAGAATATATATCAAGATATGCTTTCTTTTTTTTTTTTTGCATGGAACCACTTTAATAAATGTAATGTTAAATTATTCTTTCATTACAGGTTTCTGGAATTCTTTCAAAACTGTCACTTCCGAGCTGTCTCCCCTTGCACACCTTTTGTAGAGAGATCAAAATCTCAGGCTCTGATCTCTGGTGAGCATCTCCTCAGTATCTGCACTTCAGTCTGAAGAATCCACTTTCAGCTTTTCAAGAGTTTTTAGCCTCAGAAAAAGTGTGCCTGTTTCTATGTATTACCACACCCAGTGGGATTCTGACTTCATCCCTTTCTCATCGTTGAGAAATACCATGTTTGTGTCTGTCTTGAAATTCTGTCCAAATCACGTTCTTTTAAGTTTCTTTACGTTACACCTAATGCTGAGTGTTTTCCTTGAACTTCATTGATAGAATGAACTTCTGCACTCAAAAACTTCACCAAACCAGTTCTGTAGAAGTTTGTGGCTTCTTGGTATGGAGGTGGGAGGCAGGAGGGGAGATTGGGGGTCAGGTGGGGGTATATCACAATTTTAGCAACTACTTATTATGGGCATGCTCCAGAAGGTGAGTTGGATATTCACATTTTAGAAATGCCATATTTACGTGCTTCTCCCATTGGGAAAAGTTTTGGAGTGTCTAGCTCCTCAACTGAGTGTCTAGCTCCTAGTCTGAGCTTCCCAGATGGCTCAGTAGTAAAGAATTCACCTATGAACGCAGGAGATATAGATTTGATCTCTAGGTCGGGAAGATCCACTGGAGAAGGAAATGGAAACCCATTCTAGTATTCTTGCCTGGGAAATGCTGTGGACAGAGGAGCCTGGCAGGCTACAGTCCATGGGGGTCACAGAAGAGTCAGACACGACTTAGCGACTGAACAGCAAAAACAAAGCTCCTGTCCAGTTGGGTCTGGAATAAGGTCATCAGGGTCATCTTTATTGAGACTTCCAGGAAGTACTGCTCCCTTCACATGACTTCTCTGTGGTGACCAGCCGTCTGTGGGGTTGCGAAGTGATGGACACTACTCTCATGTGATTTAGCACACATGAGGAACGAAGCTTTTTTTAAAATATATTAATATATCATTTTATTTTTTTAATTTTTATTTTATATTAGAATATAGTTGGTTAACAATGTTGTGTTAGTTTCAGGTGTACATCAAAGTGATTCAGTTATACATATGTAAGTATCTCAGTTTAGTTCAGTTCAGTCGCTCAGTCATGTCCAACACTTTGCGACCCCATGGACTGCAGCACGCCAGGCTTCCTTATCCATCACCAACTCCCAGAGTTTACTCAAACTCATGTCCATTGAATTAGTGATGCCATCCACCCATCTCAACTTCTGTCATTCCCTTCTCCTCCTGCCTTCAGTCTTTCCCAGCATTAGTCTTTTCCAATGAGTCAGTTCTTCACATCAGGTGGCCAAAGTATTGGAGTTTTAGCTTCAGCATCAGTTCTTCCAATGAATATTCAGGACTCATTTCCTTTAGGATGGACTGGTTGGATCTCCTTGCTGTCCAAGCGATTCTCAAGAGTCTTCCCCAACACCACAGTTCAAAAGCATCAGTTCTTCAGTGCTCAGCTTTCTTTATAGTCCGACTCTCACATCCATACGTGACTACTGGAAAAACCATAGCCTTGACTAGACAGACCTTGGCAAAGTAATGTCTCTGGTTTTTAATAAGCTGTCTAGGTTGGTCATAACTTTACTTCCAAGGAGCAAGCGTCTTTTAATTTCATGGCTGCAGTCACCATCTGCAGTGATGTTGGAGCCCCCAAAAATAAAGTCAGCCACTGTTTCCACTGTTTCCCCATCTATTTGCCATGAAGTGATGCAACCAGATGCCATGATCTTAGTTTTCTGAATGTTGAGTTTTAAGCCAACTTTTCACTCTCTTCTTTCACTTTCAAGAGGCTCTTTAGTTCTTCTTCACTTTCTGCCATAAGAGTGGTGTCACCTGCATTTCTGAGATTATTGATGTTTCTCCTGGCAATCTTGATTCCAACTTGTGCTTCTTCCAGTCCAGTGTTTCTCATGATGTACTCTGTATATAAGTTAAATAAGCAGGGTAACAATTTACAGCCTTGACCTACTCCTTTCCTGATTTGGAACCAGTCTGTTCTTCCATGTCCAGTTCTAACTGTTGCTTCTTGACCTGAATACAGATTTCTCAGGAAGCAGGGCAGGTGGCCTGGTATTCCCATCTCTTGAAGAATTTTCCACAGTTTGTTGTGATCCACAGAGTCAAAGGCTTTGGCATAGGCAGTAAAGCAGATATAGATGTTTTTCTGGAACTCTCTTGCTTTTTCAATGATCCAAAGGATGTTGGCAATTTGATCTCTGGTTCCTCTGCCTTTTCTAAATCCAGCTTGAACATCTGGAATTTCACTGTTCACATACTGTTGAAGCCTGGCTTGGAGAACTTTGAGCACTACTTTGCTAGCGTGTGAGATGAGTACAATTGTGCAGTTGTTTGAACATTCTTTGGCATTGCCTTTCTTTGGGATTGGAATGAAAACTGACCTTTTCCAGTCCTGTGGCCACATACAAGTATCTATTCTTTTTCAAATTCTTTTCCCATTTAAGTTATTACAGAATACTGAGCAGAGTTCCCTGAGCTATACAGGAGGTCCTTGTTGGTTATCTGTTTTAATTACAAGAGGGTCTGCTTACACTGAGCAACTTCCCAGGTGGTACTAGTGGTAAAGAACCCACCTGCCAATGCAGGAGATGTAAGAGATGCAGGTTCGAGCCCTGGGTCTGGAAGCTCCCCTGGAGAAGGGCATGGCAGCCCACTCCAGTGTTCTGGCCTGGAGGATCCCATGGACAGAGGAGCCTGATGGGCTACAATCTGTGGGGTTGCAAAGAGTCGGACATGACCAAAGCGACTTAGCATGCCTGCACCACTTACACTGAGAGTGTCCTAGGTGTCCAGAGGACTGAATGTAGTTTGGAGTAAAGGAAAGCAGGTCCACTGGTTGACCCTCATTTCAGATGAGCCAGATTTATGAGTTAAGCCCATTGTTTGTAAATAAGAATCAGACTTTATTCCTATTTGGAAGTTTACACTGGCTGGTCCCTTTAGATCCTAGGAACTAGATTCACATAGTTTTCTAGAACACTGCTTTCATAATCCAAAACACAGCACGTCATGTCACCCATACTTTGTGGAAAGATGACACTCAGAGTCCGTTGAATGTCCTTCCAGCTCTTAAATCACTTTCTTTCATCACCTTCTTCTCCTTTCCTCAGCTCTTTCTTGTTCTCAGCCTTTTCAGAGCCTTGCCAGCCTGAACCTTCACTGGTATGCCGTAATTAGTCCTACTCCCCTTAACCAGTTATCTCCTCATCAATCAAAACTTACCTGTCTTGCACTCCTTTTCCTCAAAGTCCTGATGGGTAACTGAAACCAACATGACAAATCAATCACCAAGAGATGTCAGTGCCTGATTGCTGTTTGTTAACAACCTACTATATTAAAGGGACTGTTGCAACAGACTCCGTGACAATCCAGGAGAGAAGAGATTTTCAGCATACAGAGATTTTCCTACAATGTCAGAATTATAAAATTCATCGTCTGGGCTGCCATATTATTCTAATTGATAGACTGTTCTATTCTGGTTTTGTTACTTGTTGGATTGTCGTTTTTCTTCAGTTGTTCAGTCGTGTCTTACTCTTTGCGACCCTGTGGACTGTGCACACCAGGCTTCCCTGTCCATCACCAACTCCTGGAGCTTGCTCAAACTCATGTCCATTGAGTCAGTGATGCCATCCAACCATCTCATCCTCGGTCATCCCCTTCTCCTCCTGCCTTCAATCTTTCCCAGCATCAGGATCTTTCCTAGTGAATCAGTTGTTCACATCAGGTGGCCAAAGTATTGGAGCTTCAGCTTCAGCATTAGCCCTTCCAATGAATATTCAGAGTTGATTTCTTTTATGGTTGACTGGCTTGATCTCCTTGCAGTCCAAGGGACTCTCAAGAGTCTTCTCCAACACCACAGTTCAAAAGCATCAATTCTTTGGCACTCAGCTTTCTTTATGGTCCAACTCTCACATCCATACATGACTACTAGACAAACCGTAGCTTTGACTATACAAACCTTTGTTGGCAAAGTAGTCTCTGCTTTTTAATATGCTGTCTAGGTTTTGTCACAGCTTTTCTTCCAAGGAACAAGTGTCTTTTAATTTCATGGCCGCAGTCACCATCTGCAGTGATTTTGGAACCCCCCCAAAATAAAGTCTGTCACTGTTTCTGTTGTTTCCCCATCTATTTGCCATGAAGTGATGGGACTGGATGCCATGATCTTAGTTTTTTGATTGTTGAGTTTTAAGCCACCTTTTTTGCTCTCTTCTTTTACCCTCATCAAGAGGCTTTTTAGTTCCTCTTCGTTTTCTGCCTTAAGTGTGGTGTCATCTGCGTTTCTGAGATTGTTGTTATTTCTCCTGGGAATCTTGATTCCAGCTTGTGCTTCATCCAGCCCAGCATTTCTCATGATGTACTCTTCATGTCAGTTAAATAACTTGCAGGATGGTACCTGTTTTAATGTAAGATCATTGCATTAAATGTGGTCGTGGCATTGAAGGATGTCCGAGCACTCTCTGAGGAGCTCTGTGGCCTTTGGAGGTTCGTGTTGACAGTGACTCTGGACATGGCTTCTGGTTTTCCCTGTGTGTGACATTTGGGGGAGTAGAGGGGAGTCGGTACTCTGGGAAAGGTCAGAAGCCATCCGTCTTTCTCATATGTATGGCATCTCTCACTGATTTTTCAGGTATCATTCATACGTATGGAACAAGTGGGTTCATTAGACATTTCAGAATTTATAGAGAATAGCTGTGAGAATGGACTTAGGAATGGAAGATGAATGAAAATTAATTATAGGCCATTGAAGGGGCCATTTTTTACCCTTTTCAATTGATCATCAATCAATCATTCAAATAGTTCTTTCTTCTTGATTGAATACTCATTTCACAAAATTCAAAGTGATGAGCTAAGCCTTGGTGAAAACTAGAACAAAGTGTCAGACACTGTCCTGGCCCCTACAGATCTCACAGTATGGTCAGTGGAAGGATTCCCAGAGTGTTGTATAAGCTGGAGCATAAGAGGGGTGGGCACTCACCAGAGGCATCTGGAATGCTTCTTCAAAGTACAGTTGCCTGGG